CTTATAGATAAACTTACAAAATCAGTACTCAAGTCTTTGAATCATAAGAATTCTGATTCTAAACGATGTAAAATAGAATATATTTCAAAATTAAATTTTTAAAGCTTTAATTGAGTAAAAATATATGGAGTATGAATAAATACACATATCCAAAGATACTTGGGTAAATTTTAGAGAAGGTAATTTTTATTTTTACAGGTATTCCTTTTAGAAAACAGGAAAAGCTTTCTGCTCGATTGTTTACATGATAAATAGCTCCAAGTTTCCGCCTCTAACTTTTATTTACACGTAGTGCATTGTCGCAAGAATTCTTATAAGAAATTAATCTATGTTTTTATATCTTCCATTTCCTTTACGGCATAAGTAAATTCAGGTTATAATAATAAAAACTATACTTACATATATTGTAGAGTCTATTCTAGATATAATTATATTTTCAAATCGAATGCAAAGCTAAGTCAATTAATACCTATTTTAGAAATAAAAATATTTAATTTCTCATGATTGCTATATAAGAAATAAAAGTAATGTATTAAGTAATTTTTTTTAATTTTTTTTCACTAAGCGTAACTTAAGAAAACATTAAAAATTATTTCTAGTTTGTAATATTCTATTTGGAAATGGATTCTTCAATTTATATTTGCAGAACTTTCATATGATATACGTATTATAAGAAAAATCATTAAAAAAAATTATCGAATTTTCATCCAAGTAATTGAAAAGTGTTAACTAATAAATATTAAAATAAAATTTATTTATTATATATAACGAGTATTGAAGTAAAAGTTATTAATTATATATAATAAATATTAAAATTAAATTTATCAATTACATATAATGATATATAATGAATGAAATTATATTGAAATACAACTTTTAAATGATAAAATGATAAAAATATTGTGCAATTCATATTGTGGAGTTAGTTTTACAATAATAAAAGGAACAAGAATATATTATAGAAATAGTAAATTGTAAACGCATGTACACAAAATTATTTTGCAACTTAAATAAATTATGTTTATTAATAAAGTATTTATTTAAATTTTTTTACTATTAATTTTTATGCAAAAAAATTATTTAATTTCATTGAATAAAATACTAATGCAGAAAGACCATATCTAAATCTTTATGAATAAAAATAGCATACTTATTTTATTTTACTTTATCGTCAGTAGTTAAGAAAATTTATAAAATAGATTTTATAATATTTTGTATGTTTTGTTATTTATTATAATTATGCTTAAAGTATTGTTATTTGAAAAGTATTAAAATTTAAATAAAAATACACATAAAGATTCAATTTCCGAAGTTTATGTCTCCTAAAATTCCTTTAAATAATATGTTAATTTTGAGCATTATATTAATTTTTATAAATAAAACATTTTTTAAATAAAATTCTACGTATAAAGTTTTTTTTCTATCTACATAAATAAATTGCATCTGTTGCTTTTTGAAACGTTAAAGCATTATATCAACAATGCCTGTAGAATTACAAATTAAATAATTGAAAAAATCATAATTATTTATAATGAGATATATATAAAATACAACATTAAAAGCAAATAAAATATGCTAGTGAATAAATAATTTGTAAAATATTCAGAAATAAATCATTTTTGAATAATTTAAAATATAAGATTTAATTAAATTTGAATTCATTATTATACCTTTATCTTATTAATACAAACTTCTTTCGCAGTAGTTAGAAAAGCATATTACTTTCAAAGAATTATATTTGGCAATTGTATATATAAAAAAGTTAATGTTTTATGCACTTACATAAATCACTGAATCTAATCAATTATAACTCTTATTCAATACACAATTATACTAATTTTATATTTGTATTCAATTACAATTTTAAAATATACATCATGATTTTTAGGTTGCCATTTCATTATTTAAAATATTTAATTAATTTAAATTTTCTATCAAGCATAAATATTAATTCTTAACAAATTTTAATATAAAGTACTTACAAAAATATTATTAATTACTTTCTAATTTTAAATAATTCTCCACTTGTTTTAAATGCTATTATTTTTAAAATTTTAATTTCATTATGTTGTGCAATCAAATAATAATGTTTTAAATTTAGTATTTGTATTTTATGTTTTATATAAATAATGAAAATATATGAATTCGTACGATAGGGAAATTAGTTCTGAAGTTTCTCACACGATTCGGTATTGAAAATGACCTACTTTCTTGAAACGATTATCAGTTATAAATAATATATCTAATAGGTCAACCTTTTAACTTCAAATAACTTATCTTCAAGTTATATATCAATAGTTTCGAATGTATAATACTTCGAAACATTTATACATCTTTTCACATTTATAAAATAAGTAACCCGTCCAAAATTTAAGTGTTGATTGTTGTAGAATAATTTTCAGAAAAATAATTTTAAATTAATTTTTATAAAATGAAAAATAAAAAAAATAAGCTATCTTAATTAAGAAATTCTTACAACTTTTTCATATATATCATTTTTTGATGATGTAGCATATAAGATTTCTCTCTTATCCAATTTTTATGACTCAATATTGTTGATAAAAACTTTATTAATTTACTATCCTTATTTATTTAGTAAATTTTATAAAGTTTAAATATAAATTTTCTAAATGAGTACGAATATATATTATACATAGTAATACAAAACTTATAAATTATAAAAAGCAGTTTTATTCGATGATCCGTACAAATATATTTATGTTTTTAAAATAGAAATAAAATAACTAAAAATAATATACAATAAAAACTTAATAATGTATAATTTTATTTTTATCTTTAACCCAGATTTTTATCCTGAATTTTTTTTAAATCTACGAGAAATAATTTCATATAATTGAAAATTTATATAATATTGCAGTTCAATTTAGAGTATAATTAGATCCGTGTAATTTAATTAACTAATATATCACCTTATTTAAGATCACTTAGGTAATTATCTTTAATAAAATATTGGCACTCGTTACTTAAGACAGATCATATCCTAAACAGATTCCTAGAATTTGTATTTTTATATTAATGTTTAAATGTAGCTATTTTATTTATTCTATCATTACATATTTATCCTATTCTCAATCACAAATATTATACTTTTATATTTTTGAAATGTAAAGTTTAAAAAAAATAAATAAAAAATAAACTATGAAAATATTAAATTCAATCATATATATTTATCAAATTAAAAAGGAAAATAGGAAATATCTAAAATAAATGTTGAAAAGAATATTTATTTGGTTTTTATACATAAAAAATTGAAATTTAGACATAATTTATAAAAATTAATTCTATTCAAATATTTACCATTACAATAAAATAATTGATATTATAATATAAAAAAATATAAAGAATTTTAAGATATTTTATTTCAAAAAATACAATTTAAAGAGAATTAATATAGTTAGTGCAAGATCAAAAATTAAAAATAAGTAAAATACTAATTATAAGTATAGTAAAATTTTTTTCTAATTTCAAATATGATAAAATATTTATTGTATAATTAGTGTTGCAAGTATCAATTACTAATTTTAATTTACACCATGACATATTATGTTTATATTTTGCATTACTGTAAAATTATATTAAGGATGATTAAATCAGTTTAAAATAAATGAATGAGTTATGAATTATATATGAAATTATTTACTTGACAAGTACAAATAAAAAACTAATTTCTTTACTATATTAATATAAAATATTATTTCACTTCTTCTACCAATGCCAAATTGTAATAGATTTTTTATGTAATATCTGTATAAAATTGTATTTCTTGAAATTCTATTATATGTCTAGTAATTTAATCTAGGACTTCTTGTCATAAAATTAACTAGTTTATATGCATACATATATGCATATATGTTTAGATATATACACAATAGAGGCAAGTATAATGTTAAATATGATTTATATAACTAAACGGGAAACCCTAGTTTAATTAGATTATAGCACGTAATCACGCTGTTAATTATCTTTATTAGTTATTTATTATTAATTATATTTATCAGACATATTTCAGAGTTGTGTGACAATTTAAAGAGCGAAAGTGACAGAATCAATTTTGTATATAATTGATAATAAGGTTTTTATTAACATAGATTTTTGGAAATAAAAAGCTATAGGTCATCTTTTAAATCCTCTAATGACACTTTACATCACAATGAGTTATATATATCATTTCACTCATATAGTATCAGGAATGAACATTGTTCCTCCGAATGTAAATGTCGCTGCGTTAACAACTAGTAATCAATACTTATAAACTTCAGAAATTTAATTACTATAGAGTTAATAATCATACAAGTTTGAAAACATGCACGATTCTTAATTTTAAACTATACATTACACGTGAATTAAGTTACATATTTATTAAATATGATAATTATTTTATTATTTAAATTCGTTACTTCGCATAAAATACATTTTTCAACAAATTGATAGATATTTAATAAAAGAAGTGCTTCCATAAAATAGAAAATATTTTATTAGACACATTTATTTAAAGATAAAAATCAAAATAAAAGACATGTTTTAAACACGGAAAGTTTATCAATTAAAAATTACTGATTTAGAAATTTGTATACCTGAAATAAATATTGTTTTCACATTTTACAGAAAATGTAATAAGTAAATCATAAATTAAAAAAAATTGTTATTTTGGTATTTTTATATTCAATAATTAACCAACTCTTTTGTTCATTTAAATTTTATTTAAAAATTATTATTAAAAAATCAATGTACATACTTTACTAGTATACAAAGAAATTTTGAAGCCGTAATTTAGTACAATGCATTATGTTCATAGTTTGATATTAACAGATATAATAATCGGAATAGAAAAAATATGTATTTCAATAAGTACTAAATCCTTTTATACATTGGAAGTTTTTTTTCTTTATGTTTATTTCTTATATTTTTAATATTTTAATTCATTATAAGTTGTATTTGAAGTTTAAAAAAGCATAAGAAAAAAAGGAATAACGTGAAAGATGAATTTCTTCTATAAATAAATTTTTAATATGATAAAGGATGCATATTAATTTAATATACATAGAAATTGCGACATGCGTCACTGCATCTGTCAACGAGTTCATGAAATACAATTATTGGGTAGTTTTTATTCTTGAATAATTTGTAGTCACCTATTAAAAACGTTGATGGAAATTAGAAGGTTGGGTAGGTTGTGCAGTCGAATAAACCATACCAGGTGGTTGTTGATGTGTCATAGTATGACTTTGATGCTGATGAAATTCTGGTGCCCCATGAGGACCATTCAGTCTAACTCTTTTGGGATTTTGTCCATGACTATGTTCTCCATTACCCTGCTGCTGTTGATTTTGTTGCTGAAAATTTTTGTTAATCTAGAATTTCAAAAATGATTTAACATATGATAAATTCAATTTAAATAATTATTAGCTGTGGCCAAAAATAAACTTTTTGCTCACTTATGATTTTATCAAACTCAATGGAAATGAAAAAAAATTAACTTTGAAATTAGTTTTTTAAATTATGATATTAACTAAAATCAAATTTAATGTTTTAAACCAAATACATTGTTTTTGAAAAATATACTTAAACTTTAAATAAAATCTTACTGTTTGTTGTTGGTTTTGTCTAGTTTTATTATCAGTCTTATCTTCAGTATCATCATCCGTTAAAAATTCTCTTTTTGGATATGGAATAGGACATCCCGCAAATATACTATAAAAAATAAATCGCAATATAAGAAACTCAGATTTTATAGATATTGTATTTATACATACTCTTGAGTAGGTAGTGGATCTTCTTGAAAATAAGAATCTTGCATAGAGTGTTCTGATGTAATTCTTTTATTTGGATCCATCATTAACAATTTTTGTAACTGAAATTAATCTTAATTTTAACATATAATTACAATATTTATTTACAAATTATTTTAATAAAATAATTACCAAATTAAATGCTTTACTATCTGGCTTGATTTTGTGACGATCCATATATTTTGTTAATGAACAATTAGCATAACTAAAAAAATAGGTAAATATATTATTAATAATTAAATTAAAAATTTGAAAAGGTATAAATTTAATATAATAAAAATAAAAAATATTACTTAGAACGTTTGAAATCTCTCAATAATGTTTGATGTTCTGGCATTTTTTTTATATCTTCCCAATCTTTTTCTAATGGGAAACCCATAACATTAAATATCCTTTAAAAATTAATCACCATTACTAACAAATCTTGTTACTACTTATTAAATTTATTTAATTATTGTAAAATAATAATAATTACCTATCCAGTTGATCATGATGATATGGATTACTAGTTTTTATATCTTCTTGTCTACAGTGGAAAATTGGCTCTGATGTTAAAAGCTCTGCAAAGATGCAACCTATAGCCCATATATCTATACAAAAAAAAATGTAATAAATTATATAAATTAATGTCAATAAAAATGGAATAAAATATTAACCTATTGCTTTCGTGTAATGCCTAGCTCCCAGAAGTAATTCGGGGGCTCTGTACCAAAATGTTACTACAACAGGATCTAGATCAGCAAGAGGTTTTAAAGGAGCATTAAACAATCTAGCAAAACCCATGTCAGCAATTTTGACTCGACCTCTTTCATTACCTTCACCCATTACTAATATATTAGCAGGTTTCTAAAAATATATAAATTAATATTGTCATTTGTATAAAAAATTAATATTAATATAATTAACTAAATTAAAATATTACTAAGTCTCTATGAAGAACCCAATTGGAATGTAGATAATGAATACCATCCAATATTTGATATAGTAAGGATTTTACCATGCCCTTTGGTACCATAATTTGTTTTTTATTAGCTTTTGCAGCTCTATGGAATTTTATAATATGCTGAAATATAATTAACACTATATTTTTTATTCTATTCATTTATATTTATATTCTGAACTCACCCATAAATCATGCTCTGCAAAATCAAAAAGTAACCAAACTTTCCGATCATTGTGTGATAAAAATACTCGAATAAGAGTAATAACATTTATATGCTTAAGTTCCCTAAGAAGCTGCAAATAAAAAGAATTATTTTAGATTATTTTCATGTAATTTATTCCTAAATGCAATCTACTCCTAAAATTTATTTTTAACTCACTGTAATTTCTCTACAAGCAGACATAGAAAGACCAGTACCTTCAATTTGTTTCAATGCAAAATCTTTCGTATCTGGTCTACTTTTTAATTCACTATCCGGTACTCTAGAAAAGAAATATTTTAATTTTCACTTACATAAGAGATTAAGTAAGTTCAAACATATATTAAAATAATTTATTTATATTAATATGAAACGTAACATAAGTGTGGTATATCTTTTTCAAGAACATAGTTGAAACATATATGAGCAATATTTCAAACTATTTAAAATGTTCATTTTTACATATTTTCAAATGCTTATTTGTTAATTATTTAAATGATTTTTATTAAATTATTTTTATAATAAAGTTTTACTATGGTTTTAATTAACAGAAATTAATTAATTGTTCGCATCATTTATCCCATAAAAAAATTTTCATAGGAACACAAGTAGAAAAACTAACCCTTCTTTTCTTCGAGCCTTGTAGACATGGCCATAGGTTCCTCGACCAACTTTACAGCCCTCGAATTCAAATAAATCTTCAACTTTAATTCTATCTTTTTGAGTTTTCATTTTAAATTCATAATCCATCATGATTAGTGTTCACTGAACGATTAATAATTATCAACTGTAATAGGGCATCTTTATCCTACTTCTTTATGATTTGGTTCAACAGTTATGTATTGCTTTCATCTGTCTAGACTCTATTTCATTATTATTTGCATATCTTGAAGTAAGATACTTCGAACATTTACTTTTTTATAATGAAAACTATTCGTTCTTCTTCAAAATTTAAATAACTAACAATACTTTGATTTTCTGATTTTTAATGGAGATTTTTGTATTCCGCTTGTATAGTAAGATTCATTATTGAAGGAAAATCATAACTGTCGCCACCTACTGATCTTTTATGCACAAATCTGTTTGTATGAACACACCAGTGATTTATTTTTTAAACTAACTTCTAGGTAGAAATATTCGCGCCAAATTTAAAAATATGCGCCTTTGATCTTACAGTTGCTTTTCATTTACGAAATAAATTCATAATTTGTTTAATTAAATGCTTCTAATATAACTATTAGATGACTAATTATTATACTTGCAAAAAATGTATTTTTCAGAAGTATCAAAATATTAATACTTTGATATATTGTTAAAAATATATTATATAGCAATATTTTTAAAATATAGCACTCTAATATTTAATAAGTTATTCAAGATAAATTACTTATGAAATTTATTGTTTTGGCCTCAAATAATAAGTTTTAATTGAAATTATGATGTCTATTTGCGTAATTAAATTAACAAAAATAATATATTATTTTGATACAGAGTTGCTATTTTATGAATAAATGCTAGTTTTTATATGTTAGCTATAATAAGAAACTAAACTAATTATATAAGGATTTATATGAAAAAACTAATAATTTATGACATATGTGATACTTTTACAAAGTTTATATTAAAAAAAGGACTTCATAATATAACATCTGTTAAATATATACTGAATGTAAAAGCAAGTACAAATTCATATCTAGAAAGTAGATAGTTAATATATTATGTAGTAATTTTTATAATGTATCTTTTTCTATGAAGAATTTTTAAAATAAAATTTATATAATTAAAAATTTACTTCATGACTGACTATAAGAGTAATGATAATTAATTAATATTTTATAATTTCTATTTATTCAAAATTGTTTTGTATATCTTTGTGACAATTAATTATTTGGTTGACGAATTAACACATTCATAAGTATTATTCACATTTTTCTTTGTAATTTATTATTTATGAAAAATCTTTAAGAAAATATGATTAACAACATTTAAAACTCAAGTAATAAATTTACAACAAAATTTTTGATGTATACTGTGATTTTAAAACAAGGTATTAAGTAAAATATGTATCCATCACATATTTAATGTATATCAATAACTTATTTACATATTTTCTTTCTTTATAAATTCATTAAAAGTACAATATTCTTTATGTTTGAAATAAAATTTTATTAATACGAATTAGAGATGTAATTTACGAGAATCACGAGTAAAAAATATTGTGAATATTAAAATAACAATATAAAATGATTTAAGTGTAAATAAATTTTTAATTTCTTTCTAATTTATATTAGAAAATTAATCAAAATAATACTTTTCCGTTGTAACAGAAATTATTTTGTATTGAAATTTTATGTAGTAAATTTTTTCTATAAACAAAAATGTATAATATTGTCTCAAACGATTAAGGCAATAAAAACGTTAAACTTTATATAATTTTGTCTAAATAATTTTTGTTTTATATAATTTACTTTAATGAATTTATATTTTAGATTAGTTATATGCAAATAAACTTAATTTATATATTGATTATAAAACGAAATAGAATAAAAAAAAATGAGTCCATTACACGTTAAATATGTTTGTAGTGGAAAATAATAATAATACGCATGAATAATGAATGAGCGAAAAGGGCAATGGGTTATTCGTGCATTTTATGGGAAAATGTATATATGAATCTAATCTATGCAAGTATACAGAGAAAAAGATAGAAGGTATAAGTTAAATGTAGCAGACCACCATTTTCTTGAAACAACATAAATGAACGTTAATTTTTACTCTTTGTTGCGTTTATATACATAGCTATAATCGTTTAAGCTCCAACCCATTGGCTGTTTAGATTTAAAACAAATTCTAATTGTTAATGTAGTATATCATCAAATAATAATATAGTCTCGATCGTCATGCATGCATAGCTAACGTGCATTAAGTACACCAATGGTTTATAATTAGTACCGATTCAAACTTCGTCACTACTTCAGAACGAACTTTGTAGGTACAATTTCGCCATTGTATATCCCTTTCTTTTTCCTCTTGTCTTCCTCGGGGGCATGCACTTACTCTCTCTCTTTTTTCCGCCTTCATTTGACAATGACGCATTGATTCTCATTCTACGTATGATTATTTAATCCCCTCTTCTTGTTAGTGTCGTCATCACGTATTGTTCTCTTAATCAACGACCAAGCGACGACAACGACAAGGACGAAGACGAAGACCACGACAGCAATAAAGACGACGACGACGACGACGACGACGACGACGACGACGACGACGACCAGGAAGAGTAGAGAGTAGAGAATGGTCGAAAATGTGAACGATTCAGCCTACTGCTACTGCCGCTACCGCTAACGACGCCAGCACCGCCGCCACCGCCGTCACCACCACCACCGCCGCCACCGCCGTCACCACCACCACCGCCGCCACCGCCGCCGTTGCCGTTGCTCCTGCTGCTGCTGCTGCTGCTGCTGCTGCTACTGCTACTGCTACACATCCAGTGCCATTACAAGTCCACCACTTCTTCCATTTATTTTGTCGCTGCTGTTGCCATTGCAGGCTAAATAGTCGTTGAAGCTGCTGCCACGACATCGATAATAAAGGCGCCACGCATATAGCCCTAACGGTTATTTCTTTTTTGCTCACCCACAAGATCGTAGCATGTCCACGATGAACCCCGAATAGTGAGTAAATAACAACAGCTTTCATTGTTAGCCTATTTTAAGACCCAACCGCGGCTAGGCTTGACACTTATACCTTTAGCTAGGCTCGTTTACTTCAATTCTTCGTCCATACAATATTTATTGCTTTATTTTTTATTTATTGTTCTTTAGTTGCTTACTCAATGATACATTATACATTTATTCTCATGTGCTTTACTATTATTATTATTTTTTTCCGATACATTTAAGCTTGTTAAGCCATTTACACATTTTCATTTATCGCTGAAATGAGGCTAATGTCTACGCCTATCGGGCTGTATCTGATCTGTCCATCTCACTCACTCATTTTCTCTGTCAATCTCTCTATTTCTTTCTTTTTCTATCAATCTGTTTCTTTGAGGCTACATCTCTGTCTCCCTCCCTTTTTTTCTCTCTCTCGCTCTCTGTGTACCTTCCTAACTCCCTCCCTCAGTGTTTCTCAGGCTCTAGCTCACACACATATATGCGTTAAAACAAGCGCAAATTCTCATATACGCCCGCATATAAATATGCACGTATGCATATGTACATACACCCTGGCATGCTTTCTTCCATCCTCTTTCTCTCCTTGCTTATTTGCCTAGTTTTCTTATTATCAAAATGAACCAATCTTTATTTTCAAATATGATTTTTCTTAATATCTTTTATAAAGTACAAAAGAATAAATAAAGCAAAATTGTTTTTGTAAAAGCTTATTGTGATTACATTACTATTATTTTTTTCTTGTTTTTTTTTTTTATTATGTTTATTTGTAACATTGCTTAACAAGCCTTTCCATGCGATTACTTTATTTAAACCTGTAATATATAATAAAGCATATTTTAATAATATTTCATTGTTTTACACACATTAGTGTTATTCATATATTAATTTATTCTTTTATCAATAGTAATATAATTTTCTTGTAGCGATTACCTGTTTAAACTTCTTTTAATTGGAGATTCTGGTGTTGGAAAATCTTGTTTGCTCCTTCGATTTGCTGATGACACTTACACAGAAAGCTACATTAGTACAATTGGTGTGGACTTTAAAATAAGAACAATTGATCTTGATGAAAAAACGATAAAACTGCAAATATGGGATACTGCAGGACAAGAAAGATTTAGGACAATTACAAGTTCATATTACCGTGGAGCACATGGTATTATTGTAGTTTATGACTGCACAGATCAGGAATCCTTCAATAATGTCAAACAGTGGCTTGAAGAAATTGATCGCTATGCCTGTGATAATGTTAATAAATTGTTAGTTGGCAACAAATCTGATCTTCTTATTAAAAAAGTTGTTGACTATACAACAGCTAAGGTAAACATTCGCTCATTTTATTTAAATTTTTAATTATTGATATTAATTTGTAAATGATTTAATATCAAATATGTTAAACATAAATCACAGCTTAATAGTAGTTTTTGCGTTAGTTTTCTTATAATTTTGATAATATGTTGAATTTTAATAAGTATAATAATAAAATTTTAATAAAATAAAAATATTAATTGAAAACCCTAAATTAAAATGATTAAATAATTATCTCCTTTATATAAAAGTAACAAACATATATTGTAGTATAGATTACTTCAAAACATTACATTTTCATAAGTGTTCAATTAAATCAATTTCATTCTGCAATGTGCAATTTTTTTATTTATGGATGCAATAATTAAATTTTTAATTCATGATTTGCACATATCAATAGATCTAATGTGTTAAAAGTATTTTCTTTATATCAATACTATTTAAATTTTGAAATTCATTAGGTTCTTTTATTATTTGAACAAAGATTGCTTTCAAACTGTTTCTTAAGTTTAGTTAATATTTTATTTCTATTTTTTTGTTTCTTTAAATGCAGATAATTTGCTTTATAGCTGGCTAAGAAAATTCTATGTGAATTCTCTAATTTTCTTTATTAACTATAGAATAAATATATTTTTATGTATAATTCCATAGCTCAAACAATATTGCATAAATAATTGACTTAAATCCTCTGTTTTTTTTTTTAAAGTTTTGAAACATATAATTTCTTTTCTATGAGAAAAAATTATTATTTTATTGAAAATAATAATTCAAATTAATATTTTGAATCGCTTAAGAAGAAAAAGGCATGATAGATTCAGAAATAATATGTATAATATTATCAAATAAAAAATATATAAAAAGTTGTAAATATTCCAAATTATTTAAATTATAGATACTTAATATTATTTAACTTTATATTATATACATACTTAATATACATATGCTTAAACATTCGGTTTCATAATTTTTCTTTATAAATTGATATATATTGTATATTTGTAATTTATAACTGATTCATACCTAACTTTCAATTTTCATAATTTTTTTATGAAATTCTTATACTTACCAATTAAAATTTAAAATTAATTAAAACATAATAGATATATATGTGATAAATGTGGTTTCAAAAAAGTATATTTAAAAATATCTCTACTCTATATAAAATTTTGAAAAAACTACAAAAATAGTTTTGTAATTCTAAAAATATTTTTATTTCTATTTTGAACATTTTGTTGTATTAATAAAATCTTGCAAATAGAAAAACCAAAAAAGTGAAATGTTTTTTAAGCATCTGTGTAATTATTCTGCTCATAATTCATTATTGACAATAGATGCTTTATATAGATGTTTTATATATATGCTGTATGAAATATTAAATTTGATTAGCTTGTAGTGGATGGTGATTTGTTAAAAATGATAATAAATAAAATACATCAAAAATATGTTTAATAAGAGATTTATATTAAAATAATAGTTTCCATGTAAAATAAAAATCAAATTAATATTATTAAACTAGGTTTGAGAAACATGGGTAACAAATAATTTTTAATTTATTAAAATATTGAATAATCAAATTCTGATATTAAACAAATAATGGATTTCTTAATGTTTATAAAATTAATTTAATAGACGTATATTGGTAATAAGATGAAAATATAAATGTATAATGTAATAATGCTTTTAATGTCATCCTTATTCTTTTTTAAAACAGGTATTCTCATCTAGAGTTATTACATTATAGTATTTCATAGAAAGTATACTATTACTCATAGATAATTTTAGATTTTACTTATTATGCCTGTTAACTTGCATTAAATCTGATTTTAATGAAGTTATTTATGTGTTTCATATTAAGAGATATATTTTTGCTTATATTTTATTTTAAACTTAATTTTTTTTTAATTTAAAATACAGAGTTACAGATATTATAAGATTTCAAAAATAATAATTCATTAGCATAACTTTGTTATTTTTCAGTTTGAAATAAAAAAATTAGTTCTCATTCACTAGGATTTTCAAAATGTATAAAAAGCAACAATTTTAATTTAATTTTTGTATTTATAATTATAATAATGTAAATATATTAATTATGTGTATACTATGAATTAATATATTATTATATCTACATACTTTTATATACTTTCAAATCATATATCATCCCTATGCTATCTATTTATTTGTTTGCTTTCTCTACAAATGAGTTTTTATAACTTTCCTTTCAATTGTTTATAGAATCGAATATTAAAATTCAAGTTAATAGTTTTCCACTTAATGATAATCTTTTTCATTATAAATACATTTTTAAATTACTATATATTTTCTGTAAATTAATATATTATTAGTTATTTATTATATTTAAACAGCCGTAGGAAATTATACAGACTTTATTATAATGTTTAATAAAAAGTTATGATTGTTTCTCATATTGTGTGATAATATTTAATATTTTGTTGTTCTCTGATTAAATTTATTTTTCTCATATTTTAAGAGAGCTTCTATTTTGTATTTATGTTGGATTATAAATTAAGAATTTAAATGAAAATTATGAGATCATAAGTGAGATTTCAATATGTCACATATCAAAATATACAGTTGCACATGATATGCTATTTTACAATGTAATAGTTAATACAAAAATTTTAATAAATAAAATATTTGTTAATTGGTTTTTTTTTAATTTTAAAATGTATACCATTCTAATTATGTTTCTAACGTAATAAATTTATGCAAAAATAGAATTTAATAAAATAGTAATATCGTGTTTTTAGTTTATTCAATTCTAAACTGTTGTGGAAAATTATTTAATTAATGTTTCTGCTATTATTAGCTGGAATAAAATTTCATGTTTAATAATTTGGAAACCGTAATAACTGTGCGATTTTGTAAAGCCTAAAACTAATAAATCATCGGTCGGCCCATTAATTATTAATAATCAGCAAAATAATAGTGAATTGTAAAATAAAAATCATTATAAATTAAGATTTTTAATGTTCGTAAATTATTATAAACAAATTTCAAATATTGATAATGTAAAAAACTACTAAATTATACAATCACTAATTTAAAAAGAAAATATGTATATATTATAGATTACAATGTTATACGTTTTAACCTAATTTTTATAAGATATCGTTTAGTTAATAGAAAAGTAAATTTTATAAATATCTATGAAAACAAATATTATGCAATATTACAATCTAACATTAAATGAAGAAAAAGTTGCAAGATAATAACTTGTTTTATTTTGTTATATAATTATAAAAAAACTAGCTTGGATTAAATAAATTATTTTCCCAACAGGAATATGCCGATCAACTTGGCATACCGTTTCTTGAAACATCGGCCAAAAATGCAATGAATGTTGAGCAAGCCTTTATGACAATGGCTGCTGAAATCAAAAGTCGAGTGGGGCCTCCATCGAGTGCGGCCAGTGATCAGACTAGCAAGCTAAAAATTGATCAAGCTCATAATATTGATACTTCCGGCATTCAAGGCTCCAAAACTGGTTGTTGCTGAAACATTTAAGGTTGCATCATTTCTGTCGGACACGAGTGAGCTTTTTACACTTTTCATTCGTTCCGAAAATAAGAAAACACAAGAAGTTACGAGCATGAAAGATGAACAGTTTGATTCATATTACATTTACTTTCAAGAATTATAAAGACTTATACATAAAATGCGAGCATATCCATCTTCTGTTGCTTTTCGTATATATAATATATTTTTTCTTTTATCCCGGAGATAAAGTAAGAACATATGTATTAACTTGATTTTGTAAATTATAAAATTGATAAATTATTCAATTAATATTATTTTAGGCAACGTTTTCTATTACTCGCGTTCCTTTGAATTTCAACTTTGAAAATTTCATACAGTCTATAAGGCTTACTTGTATCTCTCCTTCAAGATTGATTTACAATTTTATATTAATTTCTTGTTTTTGTATTTACTATCTTGGCTATATTTGCTCGTTAATTAATATAAATGAAAAATAAAAGTGAAAGAAAATAAACAGTGTGTGCGTGTTAAATAGTATGAATTTTGCGAATGCTGGGAACTAAAATTTAAACAAAAATATATGGAATCGAGCTCTTTAAGTCTTACGTGAACAAGTATTACATCGTTAAATTGATGGACCATCGATTTGTTTGCTAAAAAGTGTGCATATTTTAATCACACAAATTTTTTAAAACGTACACAAATAAATATAAAACCAGTCGATTGAAGATTATAATTCGTAGCTTAAATAAGCATTAAGAAAGCAACGTAGCCGTCAATCGATCACGCAAGGGTGCGGATAAGTTAGGGGTAATTCTAGTGTTAACAAATAAGTGATAAGATTGTGTAATCATGTTAGAAAATTAATAAAAGATAAAAAAGAAATTTTCATTTGTAACTTAAATGTTAATGTGTAAAGATAGCGATGATCTGGCCGAATATTATTTGCAAGATTCACATATCTCACTATCTATTTTGATTTTTATTTTCTCAAAGTTTTACAATCAGAGTTTAAAACTAAAAATATAAAGCTCGATTCAATATGGAAAACCATTTGGTAGTTTGGTTTAAGTATTAATAATAAACGGTAGGAAAAAGAAAAATTAATGATCGCAAGTTGTTCTTACTCGGTCGTTTTTCTTACATTGTATTATAATAATGTAATGTCGATACTTCACGCGATCGAGCTTATTGTTTGCGAACTGAACGTGCAAATTTACCAACAAATTTATATTTATCAATCAAACGAAGTACTCATTTTTATTACGTAAAATTAATCATACTTCGAGAAGATTAGGTATTATGTATGTTTTGAAACATATTTTGCAATCTGAATTATATTAAAAGTGTAAACACTATCGATTTTTTATACATATAGTTGTTAGTTAACAACGTTATGTTACATAACATTTTATAAAGGTACGTATAAATGATTTTTAATTGTTTTTTTATATTTAAAAAATTTTGGAAATTAGAACTTCATGCAATTACGTAAAATAAATAAATAAAATTAAAGTGTTTTATATGTATAAACATTTTATATTTTTGGTTTGTAAACAAATTTATTTATTAATGAATAATCTTTAAAATATAAGTCAGAATTGTCATCAATAAGAATTTTAACTTATATCACAATATAGATTTAAAGATGTAAAGATATCTCTTAACTTTAGTTTTTCTGTTTATTAATTAATTTTTTATATCATGTGGTTTTTTCATATTTATTCTAAAAACTTAAATTTTTATTCAAATAGCATAATTTCTTCCTTTATATTGTGAAATTCAATATTTGAATAAATATTTGAACATATGAATAAAATTTCAATTCATTTTTCATTATAGTTAAATAATCATTATTCACGAATTTAAACAATGTAGTAATTTATAATAAATATAATTTCATGAACTATACAGCAGATTTCAATGTTTTTATATATTTGCATAAAATTTCCTCAAATAAAAATTATACTGAGTTTAAAAATCAATCCATATGTAATGCATAAATTTAACATTTTCAAATAAGGTTAAAAAGATTTTATATTCTATAATAGGTTTAGAATAAAGAGAAAACTAATTCTTTATTTTTATTGCGAACACTCTAAATTGCTGAAAATGCTTGTTTGGATCTGCATTCTATTATTGTGTATTCTATATTTTTAAATAAGTGAAATAGATTATATTAATACATCACTATTTTAAATCTTGAATTGTAATTCTAAAATTTTTTTCTACAAAATTATATATATATATATATATAGTGTAATAGTATAACGTGTTATACGTATATAAGAATGTGTGTATAAGAAATTTAACATTTTATTTGTTTCATATAGATAATTTACACAGGAGCATTTTATATCTAGAAACTGCAATTGCTAATACAATTGTGGTTAAAATATAATTTGAAAGTCTTACTGTAGTATCCTTATATATGTTACTATGGCAACGAAACAAAAAAAATAATAGTCATTCGAAGTACAATCGTAATCTTTTCTTTTCCTGCTAATAATGCTTTTATTGTTGATTCTGTGTTTTATGTCATGTATAAACATAACGTTACAAAGAAATTTAATCTATATATTTTTAATTATAACCAAAAAATGAATAGATACACTATTATCGGTAAAATAGGTGAAGGTGCACATGGTTTAGTTTTAAAAGCTTCTGATAATGCAAGTCCTATTCCTAAAATCGTAGCCTTGAAAAGGATATTACTAAAAAGAATCGAGGATGGTATACCAGTATCTGTATTACGAGAAGTCAAAACCTTGCAACAATTAAAACATCCATATGTGAGAATTAGCTTAAACATAAATTTATTGTTGAATCAATTGTTGCTCAAACAGTAGCTTATTTAAATTTTTACATTACTTTTCTATGTTTTTTATTTTTAAATTTTTAATATTTTAGGGTTGAAAATTCAAGTTAAATAAAACAAAAATAATTGAAAATATTAAGTCTTATAAGAAATTGAAATAAAATGAAAATTTAATCGCCCATTACCTTAAAATGAAATCACTTCATAAAAATTTAAATCTCAATGCAATTATACTAATTAGTACAAAATATTAGAAATTAAATTTAATTGAAATACATATTGTAGATCATAATATAAAATAATTTTTAATGTAAATAATTACTGTAAATAAGATTCTACATACGAATTTTTGTTGCATTATTGTTATAAAATTACATTAGAAAGATTAAATTTTAAATTATTATACAAAATATAAAATTCGATTGTATCTATTCATATTTTAGATTGTTGAATTACTGGATGCTTTCCCTGCTGGTTTGGATTTTGTTATGGTCTTCGAATATATGCCTTCAGGACTTTGGGAGATGTTAAAAGATTATGATAAACCATTAAGAGATTCACATATAAAAATCTATATGAAAATGCTTTTGGAAGGTGTCGCGTATATGCATTCGAATAACATTATGCATAGAGTATGGATATTTTTCTCGAACTCTTAATTAGACCAACAATTCTGTAAATTTGTGATTTGTATACTAAAATTAAGGTTTCTTAATATTTATATCCAAATTCCAAGTATCTTTTTTATTATACAACGATAAATTTTTGTTTAAAATTATTTATGGTAAATATTAGTAAAATTTTAATAAACTCATTAATTTAAAATTTTTCTATTTTATTACAAATAAACTAAATATACTTTTATTAATTTAATATTTGTATTTTGGTTTATATTTGCCATTTATACACATTAGAGAAAAAATAATTTTACTTTAATATATATAATTTACTTATTTAATTATTTAATTCAATTATAATTAATTATTTAATATATATAAAATATTAAATACATAAAGTATTAAAAATATTTTAAACCGTAAATAATTTAAATATATTTAAACGTATATCTGTGTATATATGTTAATATTGGTTTTAGGATTTAAAACCTGCTAATTTATTAATACGTGAAGATGGTATTTTAACAATAGCTGATTTTGGATTAGGCAGATTAATGTGGGAGAATAACAGCCGTCCTTATTCGCACCAAGTTGCTACAAGGTGGTACAGAGCTCCGGAGTTACTGTACGGGGCAAGATTTTATTCCTCAGCTATTGACTTATGGTCAGTCGGTTGCATATTTGGTGAAATGCTAAATAATTCCCCACTTTTTCCTGTTAGTAAATATAATTAATTTATATTATATTTACATTAATAGAGATTTTATGCTTAATACTATTTTATTACATATTTTATTACATCATTTGTTGTTAACACTGCGAAAAATATTTAATTATATAGAGAAAATTATATAACAATGTATATTAAATAAGAACAATAACTTGGTTTTTTACAAAATTTGAATCAATAAAAATATAATGAACTAGTTTAACAGTTTAATATCAAACAAAATATTTTTTTTGAATTTGCAAGAATTTATGTAAAAATTATTTTATTTGTTTATTATTTTATTATATAATAATTTTATATAAAGCTTTTAAAATTGTTTAATTATGTAATTATTATTTAAAATCTGATTTAATTAAAATAGAAGCAGAAGATTATAATTAAAAAACAAAATTCTACATTAAATAAATTAACTATTAGAGCAAATAATTTTTTACTAATACAAATTAATATTTTTAAAGTCTTTGCTATTATATTAGTGATAGAACGATATTTTAAACTAAATGTGAATTTTATTAATATAAATATTAAATGTATTTATAAAATTTCAAATTATATAATATTTCAAGATTTTATATATATTTTAAAAATCATTTACAGGGAGATAGCGATATTGAGCAATTAGCAATAGTATTAGGGCACCTCGGCTCACCTACAGCAGAATCATGGCCAGAATTAACCTCTTTACCCGATTATAATAAAATAACATTTCCTTATAATAAAGGAATATTGTGGGAACGTATTATCCCTGATGCTCAACAAGAAGCTATAGATCTTATTAAGTCTATTTTAATATATGATTCTTCTAAGCGATTAACAGCAGAAGAGGTATACAGAAACATATTACATATAAAATGGTATATTTTATTATATTAATAGATTATAAACTATTTTCATTTTATCAGGCCCTTAGACATGAATATTTTTATACTAAACCATATCCATGTTCAAAAATGCAAATTATCATACCACCAAATGACCATCGTGTTCGGCTTAAACCCAAAGAAGTTAAAACAAATGTTAAATCAACTACTTTGTTCAAAAATTTATTAAATATCTTATAAATGTATGTTCAATTATATACTATTTGAAAGAGTATAATACTTTGTAAATAAAGTTTTTAAGAATAATAAATTGAATATGAATTAAATATTATTATTAATGAAATGACTAAGATGAGGTCACTATATAAAATTAGTTTATATTATGTTTGAATCATGCTATTTTTTAAACAATAATAAGTGGTTACCTTTCATGAACAATAATTAAAGTTAATTTGATGATCATATAATAATATTGTAAATAGAAGTTTCATTAATTTTCAATTTATTCTCCAAATCTCTTTTAATATTTACAACTATATATAGTACAATGTTGAATATGATATTATTTTAATTCAAAAAGTTCAATTTGATTTTACATTCATAATATATCATAACAAGTATGACATTTTACACTACTAATAAATCAAACTCGGATTATCATTAAAAATAATTTAATTATTTCTAATATTTTAAAGCTATATTAAAACTTATAAAATAGGTCTATTAGTTGAGTTTATCATATTAACATTTTACAATAAAAATTAATGAAGTTATGTTTGGTGTACTTTAAAATGTTAGAGGTAATTAATAAAATAAAAAATAAAATTTAATTTTACAAATATCGAAAAATTACATACATTATTTTAAAATTAAATACTTACAATCAAAGCTTTCGAAATATTTTAAAAGATAATAAAGTATATTAGAGGTATTTTAATAATTATTAAATGTGTCTAAATGCACTATAAGCCTAATATATATGTTACAATAATAATATAATAATATAATAAAAAAGATAAGATACAAATTAAATATTTAAATATAATTAGTATATAGGTATAAGTGATTTATATGTAGATACTTGTTACAAATATCAGTCTAATACAATGGAGGTGGCACTTTACAATAAAAAAATTCTATAAACTTCTAATAACTGGCCTACTTGAAGCATAAAATCTTAGGGACTTTAATTTTTCCCCATAAATCGTGTTAATTGCTGTTAATTGCACATATGATGTATATATATATATATATATATATATATATATACCTATGTGGAGAGAGAGAGAGAGAGAGAGAGAGACTATTTAATTTTAATCGTACAGAATACGAATTTTATAAACATTATTTTGGTAGACAAATATGCAACATTAAGATTGCACTAAAAATGATGTATTATGTTGCACAGGTTTATCATTTAAATAGAATAATTAATATTATTAAAAAAATTGTGGAGTACAGATTCACTGGGCATTAAACACAAGAATTAGCTACACTCTTATTTGAGTCTCTTTAAAAATTACAGAGCCCTCTGTTATTTTTAAATTGAATGAAGTCAGTATAAAATAGAATCTTAAGCACCTAGTCTCTTATACGAGAAGAGAAGCATGCGAGAAAATTATACAAACGAAGCTGATATGAAGCTTATAAAAACCAGATAGTATATACATTGAATCGTAACTGATAGGTATTCATATTGTAGTCCTTTTTATTCCGCCATCTTGAATTTGAACTTCAAGAAAGTCACACTTTACACCCACTGATATGTAACGATCCGCATGGTCACATTGCAGCATATACCGAAGCACATTTCTAGAAGTTTCCGTGAGCGTAAGATATCCAGAAAGTTACGTACAGAGTTCCTGCTCTTCTATTCCGTTTCGAAAGGTTATTTATTCTGAAAGTTCGATTTAATACCGAAAAGGGCATTTTATTCGAGCATATGAAGAAAATTTAAGTGTACATTGTGTTCTAATTTCAGAAAAATAATTGTAACAATTTTTTTGACGATTCATCTAGTTTACTGAGAAAATTGTAAAAAATTTCGTGTCTTCGAAAGTGCTAGTAGTGAAACAATTGGAACAGCAGAAATTTCAGTAGCATCCATATTCATTTTTAACAAGATTTCTATATTAATTTGGTAGATATTCTATTATTAATCTGTCTAAATTTATTCATTCGTAAGCAAAGTTGTATTTACTGATTTTAATTATAATTAAAACAATAAGTTTTGCGAACTAATTTGGAATTGTAATTATTAATTGGTAGACACCTGCAGTTATTTTTTTAAATTCGCAAAACTTATTTATATAAAAATTAAAATATATTACTTAGTTCATTTTGATGTAGAGTATTATAACAGTAGTAGTCATTAAATCAAACATAGTTACTATAACAGTCGATTAAAATTTTTCTGGCAATTTAAAGAAATGGCTAAATGGGGAGAAGGAGATCCTCGATGGATAGTTGAGGAAAGACCTGATGCTACAAATGTTAATAATTGGCATTGGTAAGTTTTTTTAATTAGTAATTTGAAAGTGCATATCAATAGATTCTATTAAAATGATTTTAAAAAACTCAATTTCATAAGAATCCATTAATTTAATTACATATTGATACTATACTTAAGAAAATGTTGTTACTTTAATCAATTAATATGGTTTATAATGTATATAATACATGAATCCTTAAAAATAATTAATATACAAGTGATAGATAAAAATTTTTTATTAAATATAAAATAATCAAAAAAAATTTTTAAAATAATCAAATAAATAATAAAATTATAATAGCTTTATAATAGAAAATATTTTAATTATTGGCTTAGATTTTAAGCCATCAAATTTTTCTTAATAGAATATTATTTTGGTATATGTTGATATATAAAAATCTTGTAATTATTACTTGTAGGACTGAAAAAAATGCATGTGCTTGGTCTCAAGAAAAAATTAAAGAACTGTTTAAAGATGTTATTATTGAAAGAGATGGATGTATGTAAAACAATTTATAAACTTCATTTATAATAATAAATCAATTCAAGATTGTTATAAATTTATACAATTTAAAATTCTTGGTTTTTTAAATTATAGTTAAATGTAAAATAATGGAAATTGAGAAATGTGAAGGAGAAGCAGTAGCAAATAATAGGAAAGGAAAATTAATTTTTTTTTATGAATGGAATATTTGTCTCAAATGGGTATCTCTGAATACAGAAACAGAAATTAATGGAAAAATTAATATACCAAACTTGTCAGAAGAAAATGAAATTTCTGAAATAGATGTGTGTAAATTTAAAGTATACTTTTAACTTTAGTTAAACAAATATTTATATTATTTTACATATCTATTCACTTATATTCTAGGTTGAAGTTATACTCAATACAAATACAGATGAAGGGGAAAAATTTAAACATTTTTTATATACAAAAGGTAAAGATATAATTAGAGAAAAGTTAGCAAAATATGTATCAAGTTTAAAAGAAGGTAAATAATTGTTCAATTTAAAAAATGTTATAACTAATGATGTAAAATAATATAGAAATTAATTTTATTACATATAATTATAGAATTTACCAAAGGAATGATCCTTCCTAAAAAAGATGGCATTGAAAATATTTCTAATAAGACAACAAGATTTAATCGAAATGTATGTTAAAATGTTTTATAAACTATTAAATATATTTTGCAATAAATTTTAATTAATTACTCATTTTATAGACCCCCACGAATATAATTATAGAATCATATGATTCGAAAGCTAATAACTACATAGTACAAACAACAACGATAAAACAACAATTAAAATTTATGTGCAGTGGAACAGAATTTTATAAAGTCATGACGATACCAGAGGTTAGTAAATAAACTACTAAATATTTTAACTTTAAAGAAATTTAACAAAATTTTTAAAAACTTGTATAAAATTTTATTATATTATATAATTATTTAATACACAATTTTAAATACAATATAAAATATTGCTTATAGTAAAAGTATATTTTAAATGTCATATTACTGTTATAAAGGTTATATTTTTTATCAATATAAAACAATTTTTATTGCAAAAAAATAATGGTTTTTATCTTTACATTTTATTTATTATAGTTTGTGATGGCTTTTACAAAAGGTCCTGCAAAACTTTTTGCAGAAAAAGGGGGACAGTTCGAATTACTGTGTGGAGTTATTACTGGAGAATTCGTTGATCTTACACCAACAAAAATAGTACAGAAATGGAGATGCAAATCATGGCCAGCAGGTCATTATAGTGAAGTAACTATGGATATAGTTGAAAGACACGACCATACTGAAGTTAATGTAACTCAAACAGCAGTTCCTATAAAGTAATTATTATTTGATTTATATATTTATAAGTAGATAATTGTATCAATATATAATTAATTTATAAACTACTTTACATTTAACCAATGTTTTATTCGTAACTAATATTATTATTAAATTACTATGAATATTCAATTAAAATAAGTAGAAGTTATTTATATATTTATTAGTTCATTACATTATATTTAACAAGAATCAAAAACCAATTTATTAATAGTTGGAAGTTTTAAAATTTTATGCTATTTTACTTTATAATTACTATATTTAAAGTAAATTAAATATGACACTCTGGTTGTATATAATTATATCTGGAATAATTGAAGCAAATATTACCATTAGTTCCATAAAATATTAGATGCTATGATAAGGTACATGGAAATAAAAAAAAAATTTATCCTAATAATAATTATCCGAGATTATATCGAAATACATTTAATTGTATGTTCGTTTTAGTTAAGTTTCCTTATTTCATTTATTCACTTTTAATGTAAATTTCAAGTTAATAAATAACCATTTAAGAGTTCGATATTTATCATACCTTTATTTTATACATTTTGATTCTAATTTTAAATTTAGCCTTTATATTAATGTTTAATTAATGTTTATTATTATTAATTAAATATTAAGTAATAAAGCTATGAATAAAAGATGATTAGGTATACATTTTATAAATTCATCATTAATTATAATTAAAATTTTAAAATATACTGTGATTTTCCTCAAGTAATAACCGAATATTTAATAAAATAATTGATGGTAATTTATTAATTAAAATTTTAAATAAGAAATCGAGTAATTTTCCAATGATCTTCCATTATCAAGAATTTTTATTTCTATATTTCAATTATGAAAAAGCTGTACTTGCAACTAATAAGTTATTCGACACAGAATATATTAATAATTCATAATATATTTAAAAAAGAAATATGATAATAAAGAAAAACTTACCAATAATGACAGAATTTATGGAAATTGAAAATTCTATCTTATACAGTTATTTTTTTTTAGATATAGATTTTCATAATTTAGGATATATAATTAATAATTAATATAGTTTAATAAGAAAATATACGATTAAATATATTAAATATTTCAGTTTTTTATTTATTTATTTAATATATTCAGCTACACTCAGATTTTATCCAGTCAGATTATGATTTTATATTATAAAATATTTGAGTACTGAGAAATGTTATATACACAAATGCATATATCCACTTACTTTTAGTTCTTTTAATAATAAAAATGAAGTTATAAAATTAACAATTAAGCAGTATTACATGTGATGGCAAGTATTTAAAAGATGAAAATATTATTTATTGCAATCGTCGCACAAACAAAGATTCATACAATATAATTTAAATATCACAACTTGCTTAACTTTACACGTTATTTATATCAATTATTATTATAAATATTAATCTTTTCAAAATGTGTTATAAAATTTGTTATAAATATTCAGATTTTCATTTTACAATATTTACAAATATATGATTTATATTTTGTAAATATAATAAATGTCAATAATATAAAATAAAAAGTTAATAATGATAAAATCTATAATTTTATAATATAGTAAATAAATATATTTAATTGTTATTAATGAAATTTTGCTTGTAAACTTATTTTAAATGTATGTAATGAATTGTTGTAACATTTATTTTATTCTTATAAATGCTGAGTATTGGAATGTTAGATTTTGATATACTTAAGAGCTATTGCTGTATATAGTTTTAAGTGTCTCAAATCACTGATTATTATTACATGAAAAAGAACAATTGTATTTTAAAAAGCAATTAGATATGAAGTTTCATATATATTAATTTTAATCTAACGTAAATACCGAATTTCTAATTTATTATTGTGTTTCTTTAATATTTTAGTTGCATAATAAAATACAATCTCGTTGTTTTTCATTTATTTTCTATTAGTACTAGAGGGCAGTTGGCTACCTTACTGAAATGATAATTACCTTATGCAATAATAATTAAGCATAAATACCTTTTACATATTTCTAAGCGGATCAGCATAATTGGAATAACCAATGTATCATAGAAATCTTTAAAATTATTTATATTGTTAATCACTGAAAGTACATTATATTTATATAACACCACGCATGATTATAAGTTTCTATGTCCCAACATAAATAGTATTGTTGTCTCATGCATTATAAATTAAAAATATCTTTTCTTATTTTCTACTTTCGAAAATGTGAGTAGTTTTATTAGTTTAAAAATCTGTTCATTTTATTAACAGAGTTCATATTGCTTTTAGAATAGTAGTTTTTTCTCATCTTGCAGTATCAATACAACTCACCAGCTTGAGTTGATTAATTTGTTTTGAAATTTTAGATATTTTATTTGGATCATTTCCAGTTCATAAAATTTTGTTTTTAATAAAACCACAAAATATATAATTGTTTTTCTTTTATTAAGCAAATATTTATCAATAACTAATTTTTAATTTATTTACTTTTGATTTCTATTACATTTTTTAAATATATAATATAATTTTCATGTATAATATAATTTTAATATATAATATTTAATATAATAAATTTTATAATAAATTTTATGATAATAAAATTTTATAAATTATAGGGAATCTTCAATTTAACAAGAATTTAAATTAATTGAAAATATATAAAACATTTTACTTATTTTGAATAATAATTTGTCGTAGTGTTATTTTATATTTAAATAGTAGTAAATATAAATTCTTGGTTTTCTTTAAATTTATAACTTGAAATGTTGACATTTAATTCAGAGAAAATAATGAATAACAAAACAAGAATCTATCAAATTTTCATTGTTTCTATTAATAATGGAAGTAGCTGTTGAAAAAAGTATTTAACTTAGAAATCTATTGTAGATCTTTAGTTCTAGATTAATAATCTAGAACTTAAAAATGTATTGTAGCATAAAAATCATAAGAATAAAAAAATCCTATTATGAATCTCTATTGTTGATTCTTTTTAAATATACTAATAATTATTGAAAACTAATGTGTTACAGGTTTAATTAAATTTCTTTCAAGCGTTATTTATTTATTCATGGATGCATAGTAATTATTGAAAATAGTATAATGTACACTTATCTTTGTATATGATTTTCTATTCAATTATACTGTGCACATCTTTGTTATAATGAAGTGAAATTACATATTAAATGTTTCTAAAAACAGATTAATATTATTTTAAATTTATAAAATTTATTATAGAACTTAATAATAATTAAATAAGAATTATTTCCATATAAAAAAAATTAATTATATTTTGTTAATCGACTGTATTTTGCTATATTATTATATTATTAATGTTTCGCCATTTTGATTTAGTTTTATTATTTTAAAAATAGATTTAGTACCGACGACTACCTTGCTGTTTGTTACATTAGTTGAATTATAATTAATAATTTCAATTAATACTTTTGTGTATGTAAATACTTATTGCTCATCATAATGCAATAATAGAAAATTAGTAATAAAAAAATAGTATTAACTAATTAATTAAAAAATATATTTTTTTAACAAATTATGTATACAAATATATCAGTAGTATTAATGATACATTATATAATTTTGAAAAGTTAAATATATATATTGTGTTTGTATTACAGCGAGGAGGAAGTGACAAGAATCAACTGGGACAAGTATTATTGGAATGCCATCAAGATGACGTTCGGTTTCGGCTATTTTATGTGATTTTCTACCGAAACTCTTCCTTTAACTTTAAATACACTTAAGTTATACTCGTCGCCGTCATTGTCCTCGTCGAGCAGGACATCAGCTATGTAGGTATTATAAATATTTATTAATAAATAGATGAAATTTCGAAGAGCACGACACCATCCGCAAGCTCTCACGGGGTGAGACCCGACATCTCTAGGATCGCGGCGATATTTGCAATCCAGCTATGCGAATTTTTTGATCACTGCTATTTCAGAACAATGATAAAACATAATTACTTTATGCCACCTTCAATTGAGATTATTTTGTGTAATTTGATTGTTGTTTAACGACAAAATAAAACACAAAGCAAAAATCATTACTGGTATTCTATATTTACATCTCATGGTTTATTTTTTTTATTATTAAATGAGTACTTTTGATCGATAAATATGGAAAAGTTAATACATATTTTTCAACATTTTGGCTCCTTCTATTATTTAAAAATTGTGTACAACAGCACGTATAAAGCATTAATAAATTAAACATGTAAACAGCGTGTGCTTTTTTTATTTGAACCTCCTTCTCCATAACAAATTCATTTTTTATTAATAAAATAAATAATAATTTTAATAAAAATTAAATAACCTAAATATTTCTGATTAGAAGGTACATTATGGAGGTTCTTACAATAGCACGCATTAAAAAAATATTTTAATCTGCTTAAAATTTATGTAATAAGTAGTTCTTACATAAAACTAAAAACAATTTATTTGACCAAATATATTGAATGAAACAAATACTGAGAAAAATTTCATATTTTTTTATGCTACATAGTTTAAATAAAATATTTTTAGTCTAAAACTATAATAAATTTAATAAATATGTAAAATGTATTTAAACTACTAAAGAAAAAAAAATTAAAAAAGAATCATTTAATCTAATCCTTTATAATTATTATAATACATTTTAATAATGCAGTAGTTTTAAAAAAGCAAAAAAGCTATATTTAAAATACTTGGGTTTTATTCAAGCGCATTAAAAATTATATTTATTTATACAACAAAATCTTGCTTATATATCTTAAGGTCCAGCCAGGAAGTTAATAATATATATTAAATATTTAATTTGTATAATTGATATTTAGTTAAAAATTTTATGTACTGTTCATAAATAGTTGAAAAACAAAAAATCGTTTTACAGTATTTGTCAAATACACTCTATTTAATAAATTTGTCAGTTTATAACAATAATATTTTATTTTTACAAGAACATAGTTGGATAAAATTTTTCATATAGAATTATACTTATATCAAGTTTGTATGTCAGTTTCTTTATGGAGTTTTGATAAAATTAAATTATACATTTCTATGATTATAAAATAATTGTAAAAATTATTTTATTCTAATAAAAAAGTAATAATTTATTTAGATGTTTATTAAAAAAATTAATAAAGTAATATTGTTATAAATAAATTATTATTTTATGTAAACTGCCACTTATAGTACTGTTAATTTACTTCGTCGGAAAAATTGTCGCGATTAAGTTTTGTAAATGAATGTAAAAAGTGATTTCTAATCAGTGTAAATTTTACGTAAAATATGTCTTAAATTAATAACGCAATATTTAACATTAATAAAGAATAAATAATAAAGTAAAATAGAATGTTAGATTTTATATTTTATACTTTATATAAAATTTTTTTTTTATTTTATCATTAAATTTCTTCAAGTTGTTCGTAAATTTTTTTAATCGAACATAAATTCATGAATATAATAGAACGAAAAATGTGGTAAGTAATTAGTGTTTTTCTACTTTACTATGAAAGGAAAATTCGACCGCTGTACTCTGTATATATATATATATATTAATTCAGCGTTCCTTTAAGGATTGGTTCGTGCGCCCTCTATCTGACAATATAATTAATAACGAAAGAAACAAGGGTGGTGAAACACTTATTTAATAAAATAAGTGTAAAAGGAAAGTCTCCTGTTGCGTTAAAAAAGTATAAACCTTAAAATATATTATTGGAAAATATACGTATTCGACACACAACAAGTAGATACAAATGTCGTTAATTGTTAATTGATTTTTGTAAATATTTAAATTTTAAACATATTTTCTTATATTCATCATTGGAAATCAATTAAATCAATTAATTTAACATAAATTCGTTATGTTTATTTTATTATAAATATTACACATATTTCCTTGTCTTGTTCATAAAAATTTATATTTCATTATTTCAAAAATCAATATTTCATTTATTTCAAAAATACAAAATTTAATATTTATTAAATATCAATTCACTGTCAGAAAAAGTAAAATTCCTAATAAAAATTTTTTATATTTTGAATAAAAATATATATTCAATTATATAAAAGTAATCTATTATATTTAAATAATTGTTCTACTTTAAATGTCACAATTTTTGAGAGAAAAAAATCCATTGCCATAAAATAATATAACAAACTTTTACAGTAATAATTTTTAACACTGTTTTTAATTCACGTAAAATAAATAAACAATTTCGGAATATTTATATCAAAATAACTATTACAATATTTTAAATGTAAAAAATTTATGTATGATTTATTAACTATTAACAGAAAAAGAAAAGTATTCTTTTATAAATTTTAATTATAGAAAATACTGTTTTTTTACATTTATGTATATATATAAATAATTAAAATGAATATATAAATTGTATTATGTAATGTAACATGTCAAGTTATAAATATTAAGAGCGATAAAATCATTCAGTATAGTAATAACTGTTGTATTATAAATACTATAGAATATAAATTTCGTACGAAAGAAAGATAATAATAAATAATTGTGGTAACTTTTATTAAAGACCAAAACTTGTGTACGAGAAAGCCGGCGTTCCTAAGTGGCAAGAGAAAGTAGAATATAAGTTAAATAAAAAGTATGTCACAATTAAGTTTTAACATTATTATTACATAAATTGTTTAAAAAATTTTATGTAGAAAAATTTATTGCGGTAATTGATGGTATGGTTAACACTTAGGAGAATCTATATTAAGTATGGAGATCGTAATCTGAACTTAGGAATAATTAGCATCAGTTAGGGTATCGTGCAATTTGTATTTTTCAGATGCTTCAGCATTTATATCATTTGAAACAATATGACAATAGATAGAAAAGTTCATGAACAATTAGCGTAAAAGAATTTTAAGAGAAATTTAAATACATTATAATGAATGATTGGGTCATTTTTATAAACTTTATGGAAGAAAATTATATAGTTAATTAGTAAATAAATATAAAAAATGCTACATTTTAAATAAAATTTATTTTTACTCTTATTCTTATTATTTTTAATGATATTAAGTATCATGTGACGATGTATTATTTATCAAAAATCTATTGCAATGCAATTATTTTTAAAATTAGTTGCACATTAGAAAACTAAGTTAAATGTAAAATTAAAAAAAAAAATGCGCAAACGACTGTATATTGCTTTAAATGTTAATTTTATAAATAAAATTTTTTATATTTGCATTTAGTTATATTAGATTTCCCTTAATTACATCTAATCCTTATAAAATATGAAAATATTATTTATATTTAGTAATATTACAAATTTTCTCTTGTAATGTAATCTTGCTCATCTTGTCTCTAATTTAATTTATTTATTTTTTGTGTTATATAATGCCTCATATCATTTTAATTAATAATAACTATTGCATTTCTTCATTTATTTTCTGTGTTAATTTTTTGGAAATAGTATTGTGCATTGAACTTCAATTACTTATTATTAATAATTTTACATTGATTTAAATCTACTTAATAAATTATGTCGTTAAGGACATAGCATGAAATTTACTTTGGGCACATTGATTGATTAAGAAAATATTAAAGAAAATGTAAATTGGAAGTAATCGTATTTCAAAAGGCAGAAAAAATATTTACACAGTACGCTATAATTTTTTATTAAAATGTATTTTCCTAGTCATTAATTTATAAATTTAAATGACTAATATAAATGAAAATAATTTAAAAGATAATAATTTGTGTTTTAATAAATTTACTATACATACATATCAATATTGTATTTTAATTTATTCAATGTGATATATTTTAAAATAACCTTAGGTTATTTTAATAATAGAATATATATGAAACCAATACATTTTTAAATATTTGTATTCTTGAATTGTAGATGTTAAACAACTAATATATAAATGAAATCTTAAGAAAAATTAATTTCATTATTAAAAAAATAATTATAAGTTGTAATTAGAATATAAATTTCTACGAATTTTAACTGCCTATTTAGACTATTTGAACTACTACTAATGACTATATATATTATTATAGAATTTATCAATTAATGAATAAGTAAATTATCGAAACATTTTATTTGATGCTATTTTTACTAATGCAAATTTTTAATAGCGTATTATTATTATAAGAGTTCGAAGTAATTAATAGTACTAAAATAGTAAATTTATATGGAATTAATATATTTGGAATTACAAAAATATACTTAGAATTTTCGTAGACAAAACATGGATATAATATATATATATATATATATATATATATTTATTTATAGAATAAAAATTACATACTTTTTCGATTTGAAAACAATTATTATGGATAAAAATAAATTTAAATTACTATACATTGAAATATTTCATGAAACGAGTATTTTATAGTTCTGAAATAATTCTAAATACAAGATCATATTTGAAATTCGTATTCATGAGAAATAGTAGAATCTATAAAATGATATATTTTTATAAGTATTTCATACTCTACTAGTATGTAACAATATATGTGTATATAAAGTAAATTCAGCGATTTTAATGAAGGTATCAACGGAGTTGAGGTTACGAGTATAGTAAGTAGTATTAGAGCCGATCGAGGCAGACGCCACCCGCATTGTAAGAGTTGATCAGACGTCGAGATTCTTATGTATTTAACTGTGAAATGAATACTAAAAAATTAAGAATTTATTTTTATTAAAGTTGAGATTATTATCATAGAGTTTAGCGTGTGTTATAAAATGTTCATACCAAAAATTTCATTTAAATATTATTAATTAACTAAACAACATTTAGAAATCTGTGAATAGGAGATGAGTACTTTTGACATTTTTTACAATATTTCGTAGTGATTAGAAATATTTTTAGGCAAAAAAAATCCTAAAATTAAATATAAAATAAACATTATATAATAAAAATTTTTGTATTCATTAACATTTATTTAATAAATACTATGCATTTTCATTATTAAATCATTTGTTTGTTTAGCATTTGAAAAAGATTACTAATGCAAATGAATTAAAAAGTTTTGTAAACATCGAACACTTCACCTAATAATTAAAACTTCATACCTATGGAAGAAAATATTTTTTCATTAAATATAAAATAGAAAATCAATTATTTATAGATCTTGAATATAAATAACTGGTAGAAGAAGATAGCCTTTTACAAGGTATAATTAATTAAAATAGAATATGTATTATATTAAAAATAA